TATATTTGTAGTTGTATTGTCTGTTTTTATCTGAGCAATTTTGCCTCTTTCTGCTACTGATGCCAGATGGAGGAGAGGCAGGGAGACCAAGAGATTAATGAAGCAACTCATCAAGTCGTTCAAAAGGCAAAAATACATAAAAAATTAAATCTGGTACAATGCCCTCTTCAAAGAGTGATGGCTACATATTGTACAATAGTACTTCAAAGTTTCTGGAGAGAAAAAAAATAAACTAAGGGAAAACTTTTAGGAGATAAAATCATTAATGACTTATAAGACGTCCATTTTGGAAAAACACAAGGTATCATCTTCTCCCCAGCGTCTGTCTCACACCCTGGAAGCAGAGGACATTAACTCTTTGTGACCACAAGGGTGAAATTAACTACACTAGGGAGTACACAGTCCATTAGTGGAAATGGTCCCTTAAGGCTCTTAGCTGGTGATGGACTCAGACACCATGAAATAAGGGTGCAAACTAGTCTTTTCATAGAAAAGTCAGTACATCAGTACAGGGGTGTTGATTATAATTTATAGAAGAAGGGAAAGGAAAATCAGGTAAACTCTGTTGGATCTTGCAGTAATGTACTGGAATAATCAATATTATACAACTCATCATATAAGATATATTCTTGTAATTTTTTTTTTTTCATTTGGTAAAAACTTGTAGCATTTAATGACTAAAATTATATTGGCATTATTAAAAATCTGGAATGAGAAAATATATTTAAATAACAATTATAAAAATAAGTAAGTCCAAAATATTACCCAAAATAAATATCATTATTAAGCTTATCTTGGAAATTTAGTCATTAGAAGTAGATAATTCCCACACCTAAATAAAAGCCCATGTGATTAGCTTGCAAAATCAGTTCCTTTTAGGCTCAAGTCATGGAAAACAGTAGTTGACAGTCAAATTGTCTCTGGTTATAACTTTACATTTAGTTTTCCCAGGTCAAGTTTTTTGTTTGTTTTTTAATGTTTAAAAATATATCATTCCTAGAAAGAATTCTACACTCAAATTCTTTGCTAAACCAGTTCACTTGACAGAATAACAGATTTTTGAAATGCAAATAATTTTATTTAGTAAAAGCCACAATCAGCTAAGAACTGAAAAAACACATAGGGGAAAAAAACACATAGAGTTAAGCATAATTTTTGGGCTTTTTTATTGAATGTATTAAGAACAAATGTTTTCATTTTGCTTCTTACACAAACTAGGGTCATTGTTAATGGTCGAAATTCACTCGTTTGTTTATTTATCAAACATTTATAAAGGTGCACTACACACTGATCACTATGTTAATTATTGGATTTATATGTATATTATATGTACATGCAATAATTAGCATAGAGATACATCCTATAACATAGCATATATGATATACATATAGTATAACTCTTAAGTTTCCATATATGTATAAAGATTAGAAATGAAGTCCTCTGATGATTGCATAAAGAGAATACCTATATATTCTTTATAGTGCAATTAAGTATGACTGTGCCTATGCCCAAAACATGTTTTTCTGTTCCTCAGCATTTCCCAAAGCTAGAGCAGATATGTAAAAAGTTTGGGACAAGGTGTCACAAAATGTGACATATATCATCTTGGAGCCAATGCACTTAAGGGTACTAGGCCCCCACTTTATCACCATGTTCTCTATCTTTGTTATAGCAGTCTTGGAGGGCACATATAACAGATAGTGAATATCTGGTGTGAGTGAGAATTGAACTAATTTGGGCTAAGCCACTAAGATTTGAGGCTCTCTTTCCCTGGGCTGGCTATTTTGGCCTGTTAAGCACAATATTATTCTGAAATAAGAGAACATGTTGATATGAAATATAGAAGCTATAGTATATCAATTCAAATATTTCTTGAAGAATCCATGAATATCAACTCAAAATATTGTATATTATACAGATATAATGTTCAGTACTTGCCTGGTGTTGACCAGCACTTTTATTCATGAAAATTAAAGAAGGTCCTAAACTCTGACAAATCACATTTTCTCATGGAGTTTTTTCTCTTCAAGAAGTTTCCAAATTTCCCGGCTAAACAGGCAGGAATAGTAAAGATTACAAGCTTAAATCTCAATGCACCTTATTTCAGAGTCCCCTTCAAAATCTTCCACCTAACTTCATATTTGCAATTTCAGATTGATTGTTCCAAAAAAGGATCTTTGCAAGTTGAAGCTTCAGGTACACAAAAACTTGGATCCAGACTTTTGTGGTCTTTTTTTATTACTATCTTTTCCTGTCACTAGTCATTATTTTTCTCTTTATAACGATTATTTAACTCACTCTCCAAAAGTAAGTTAGAGGGAAAAAAAACTTTATCTCCTCATGGTCTGGGAAATTATCACATATATTTTTTCATTTAGAAAATTAAACCCAAGAGTTGTTTCCATTGGCTTAGTGTTTAATCATTGTTTGTCATTTTCAGTAGTTTTCATTTACACACACTGACTGGTACCTGCATAGACACATGGACAAATATGCATATTCCCACAGACTTATAAGCATCACAGTAAGTATACTTTATGATGTGTTATGTTTTTGTTTTTTTCCCCATATAGTAAGATGACTTTCTAATGGATATTTTACCATATGTCAATATCAGGTGAACAAGGCCAATGTCTATAGATTATTTACACACATAGGTCAGTCCTGTTCATGAGGACTGGTTATCTAAAAGGTAACATTTACTCTGAGGAAAATTCGCTAAAAAACTTAAAACCTGCACATAGTATTTTGCCTCTTCAAATGTCAGAAAATCATGTCTGTATGATAACCAGTTAATTTTCCTCTTTTCCAAAGTACTTCACTTTGTGACTCATGAGGGATGTAGTGTGAGAGCAGTTGACATTTACATAAGGACCCTGACTACTATCTGTATTCTGACTTGCTGAATGGCAGCAGGAAGGGAGAAAAGAGTCCAGGAAAAGTATATTTAACAATTATGCATGCAGGTAGCGTGTTAGGAACTCTTTCCAAAGCTATGATAAAGTACTCCATTCTTTATTTAAACTCTCATAATCACTCTTTTCTTTATCTAAAGAACCACATTTTTAGAAGCAGCAAAATTATTTTTTAAAAAGTCAGCTTTCAAGTTTTTTTTTTTTTTTTTTCCATCTAAAGGTGGGAATTGAAGGGAGAGTAGGAGGTTTTTGAAATTAGGTTTTTAACCTAAAAGTTGATTCCTCAGCAGAACAGTTGAGATAGTTAATTCAAAGAATAAAGCAGAGGGGAGTTTTATTCTTGAAATTTTAGTAGTACTGAACGGTTTCATCTCAGTTTTATAAGTACATAAAATATAATTATCACCCTGCTGCCCCTACATATGCCAAACATTTTAAGTAAAAATAAATATCTTAAAAGGTAAGGCTTCATTTTTTAAACTATTCAAAGGATGATATAGTATATATACATATATATATATAAATTTTAAAATATCCTCCTTTCTTGACTATTTTTAGTACTATAGGTATAAAAATCAACAAAATACAGGGAATCCATGGTCAAATTGATGGAACAATGTGTAATCAATTGTTGTGTAATTAACGTGGAATCAATTTGTTGTGATGCCACGTAACAAGTATTTAACATGGGAGCATTGGAAGAAAACTTCTACAGAGCATATCTCTTGACTCTAGAAGATCAATCAGAAATTCCAAGCACAAGGGGGATAAGTGTGTTCCAAGCAGAGGAATATGAGTATTGTGAATGGTTGATAACTTGAATAATGTATTTAGAGTTGTAATGAAAGGAGAGAGCTGGAAAATTCGGGACTAAAAAAAAAAAATAAATAAGTATTTTTTTCTAGCTAAATAGAGTGTTTTGACTATATCCTAGAGCTCTGGAGACACAACCAAACAGTAAATTTGCATTTTGAAAATATGCACAGGATATTTTTGAGGAAAGAAATAGTAAGAACTATACTAAACATTGTCATGGGAGAGTCAGAGAAAGAAAGTTTTGAGGGGGTCTCCCCAGTGGGGTGGCACAGCAGTTGAGCGCTGGGTTGCAAAGCTGCCCACAGCCTCTGCAGCGCCGGTTCAATCCCCGGCCACCGGGTGAGGATCTCACATGGCGCGCAGACCTCTCCTGCTGCCCGCTGCTCCCCTCAGCAGTGTATTTCATCAGTCTGCCTGCTCTGCTCCCTGCTCTGGCTCTGGTGAATTCTCTCACCCTCCCACGCTTCTGACTGTACCCAGTGCATGTATAAATAAATAAATAAATCTTTAAAAAAAAAAAAGGTTTTGAGGGATGAGACCAGATACATAAGTACATAAGATTATATCAGGCATTAAATAAACAGAGATGTTAGGATGATCACAGGATGTTTTTTGACAGGAAAGGTAGTGTTTATAGTTGATACCAATTTTAATCTGAGTGCTACTGGAGCTATCCAAGTAAACATGTGAAGTGAGTGGTTAGAAATGTACCTGAGGCTGAGGGGAGATTCTGTTAGGGCCTGTCAGAACACGAGTGATATCACAAACCGTATATTGTCAAAGAGGAATATATATAGATTGTGATTATAGGTGGGGACATGAGTGATAGCATCATTTAAGTAAAAAAAAAAAAAATAGGAGCCTCAAAAATCAGAAGGTTAAGGAAGAATGAGAAGAACAGGATGTGTTATGAGGTGGGAAGAAATGTGCCAAAGAGGGTGAAATCATAGTATTCAATGCTTCCACAAAATCCTAAAAAATAAATACTGAAAGATATTCATTTTATTTAATCAACAGATGATCATTAGGAATTTTGCTGAATGTGTTTTCATTGAAATGTCAGAAGGGGATGGGGGCCTGATTTTATAGGACTGACACATATAACATATATTAGTATGTCTGAGTATTTAAATAAATCTTGAATTGCCTAAGGCATTATTTAGGAAGCAAGGAATCAATAAGCTGACAAGGAAAAAATAGACATAAACAGTACAAATCATGTTAATGACTGCCACTGGACTAGGAACACCCTTTCCACCTGTCTCTCACCTGCACATCTTTTCCAAGTGTCTGTACATGCATTCCATCCATATCTCTTCTCCAAGTCCCTAAATGCAAGTCAAAGTCAGAAAAAGCAAGAGCCCCAAGGTTCTCCTGCCTTCCAAGTTACATAGTTTCACCTGGCTGCTCAGCTCCAGCTCTAGTTCTCTGTAGCACCTTCATTCAGGAAGTCCAGCTCATGGCACACTGAGACCTGTAATCCAAGGTGACTTTATGTAAACGGGGATGAAGAAAATATTACCTCTTTTTACAGAAATATGTCTGTAACAATGTTATTTTTTCCTGTTGACAGTTGCTTGATGATGGCACTTTCAATTTTAAGCAAACTTTGTTTTACTACTTACATTATTTTTATGTTTGTTTATTTTGAAATACTTCAGTATTACTAGTATCTCTAAACAAATTTATTTTAATCTGTGACAGTATTTTTGGTGGTTTTATTAGCATAAGAAAGATTGTAATTATTTGATAAATTTGTTCATTAAAATTTTTATTGAGTTAGAAATCAAGACAATAACACCTTTATGTATTCAAGATATAAAAAATTGCAAACTCACTATCTAATCGAGAGTGACAAAACTATGACCCAGGGCTAGCCTCTTGTTTCTGCACATACATTTTTATTGCAATGCAGTCATACTTATTTGTTTACAACCCATTCATGACCACATTTATGTTATAATATTGGAGTTGAGAAGTTGCAACAAAGAAAACAGGATCCACAAAACCTAAAATACTATTAGAGAAAAATGTCACCATTCCCTGGGCAACACCATTAGTAGATCTGAATCTCTAAATTTAATTCTCAATAGTAATTTTCTCAATAGTCATGAAAGACAACAGTACATATGTTGGGTTTTGTGACTACAACACTCTTGCTTTTGGCACCAAGTACTCTCTTGATTAAATCATTAACTTTGGTCTAATTTAATTTATGGATTGCAAAGTACTTAATGTAACTGAAAATTTCTTTTGGATCATGTAAAGAATAAAACTGATACTTTTGATCATACTAAAAGCAGTGAACAGGATCCCAGATTCTTTTCATCTAGTGGTTTAGTCATCTTCCACATGTGTTTTCTAAGGTGGCGAAAAAAAAGGAAATTTTATGAAGGATATTGTATGCAACATACCTGGGAGTGTTGCCAATCACTTTTATTCAGACTCCATTGGTCAGAATTTAGTCCCAAGTCTCAACTAACTGCAAAGGAAGCTTGGAAATATAGATTAATTGTGCCCTGGAGAAATGGAAAATATTTTTGGTGAAAAGCTGGTCAGTATCTATCACAGAGATCTTCTGCAGATAGAATTTATAAAACTCCATATTTTTACAATGTGGTAGGATAAAAAAAGGGAGCCAAAAAAAGGGAGCAAGTCTATCTTCCAAACTTTTATATAAGAACTACATAGTGGAGTCTATATAGTGAGTCTGGGAATACAGAAGGAGAAGCAAGATTGGAGGAGGAGAAAATAGTTTCGAAATAATGATACATTGCATTCTAATTTACGGTTTTAAAATTATTTTAGACCTTGAAAGTAGAAGCTTAGCATAATTTTGGAAATACAAGAGACATATTAGAAGTATAGATACAACCTAGGGATAGAGATTTGATTCTTAAAAACATAAACAGTAAGTGGTAGTAAAAATCATGAGATTGACCTGTAATAGCACATAAGTAGGAAAAGAGAGTTATAAACAGAAAAAGTATTGTGTGTGATAGATTATATCTGCCTTAGTACAAACACAGATATGAACAAAATCGTCTTTGCCTTCAAGAAATTCACAATGGAGTGGAAATAGTCAAGGAAACTAGTGATTACAGGTTGTATGATGACTATTAAATATTCAAAATATGGAGCGTCCCCTGGTGGCGCAGCGGTTGAGCGCTGGGCTGCAAGGCTGCCTGCAGCCTCTGCAGCGCCGGTTCGTCCCTGGCCGTCCGCGAGGGTCCCACAAAAACAAAAACAAAAAAAAGAAGTAAATATTCAAAATACGGAATGGGGCCTCAGAGGAAACAACAAACATGCATATCAATACAATGTATGTAATGATTAGATGATGAAGGGATTATATTCAAATATATCTCACAAAAAAAATCCTTCTACTCTTTCATAGTGTCTATCAAACCTTACACAGGAAACAGGTAGCTGACAAATACTGTAACCACACAGAGACTTTTGACCCCACTGCTACACACTTACTTTTATTAACAGATTAGTTTATTGGACACATAAAAACATTTTAACTATTCTTTATATATTTTAGATTTACATAAAAATCTGTATGGCGACAGGATATTTCTTCTTTTACAGCATTAAAGTCTTTCAACTAAAAGTGGCCATTCTTCAAAATGATCATTGGATATGATCTGATGTAAATACATTGGGAATTTTATTCATTTTCATAATTGCAACTTTTGTTTTAATATCTTGTAATCTTTCACAATTTTTTTGGAAAACAAACATATCAGCAACAAATTTTTCTTCAAGGTGTCTTTTACATATTTCTCTAATCCTAACAGGAACAAAGAAAGGTAATAGAATGAAATACTTTAAATAACTAAAAAGTAGCAATCAGACTGTTAATAATAACTACATATCTCTAAAACAGACATATACAAAATTACTAAAACACAAAACTTCAGTATTGCATAGTATTTTATTATATCATTCAAAATGATAATATTGGGCTGATATTTTTAAGATTTCTATTGGCTGTAACAGAGTTTTCACAAACCCTGCCTTTTATTTCAAGGGCTCACATTTCCAAATATACATCTAAAGCATATAATACCATGATTTGTAGAACTTTTACTTACATTTCACTAAATCCAAACTTCTTTTAGGACTCTGCTATGGACAGAACTGTGTCTCCCACAGATTCATATATTTAAACCCTAACCTAACCTTCAGTATCTTAGAAAGGGACATTTAGAGATAGGAATTTGAGAGGTAATTAAGTTTAAATGAGGCCATATGGATGGACCCTAGTCCAATTATAAGTAGTATCCTCATAAGAGGAGGAAGAGGTGCCAAGGATGCATATGCACAGAACAAGGGTTATATGAGGACCCAGCAAAAAGGCAGTCATCTGTAAGGATGAAGAAAGGCCTTGGAAGAAACCAAACCTGCCAATATCTTCAACCTGGATTTCCATCTTCAAGAACTGTGACAAAATAAGTTTCTGTTGTTTAAACTACCAAGACCCTGGTGATTTTTTTTTTTAAGGCAACTCTAGCTGACTAATACAGTTTGTAACTAAGACAGAGGGAAGCGAAACAGGTTACACTGTCAAACCTGTGTAAAGCTTGAAGAGAATTATTCATTCATCCTCATTCATTCATTAGTATTGATAATATGTTATAATGCTTGTCAATATCCCTATATAATGGAAACATAAATATAAATATGACATAACTATGAGAAGCTTATAGAAAGTAGTGAGAAATAAAGCATATGAATATATAAATGAAATATTTTAGTTCACAATGAACAAAGTATGTAACAGGACAAAGCCAAGCATGACAAAAACTGAAAGGCATATCTTGAAGAACAGAGTGAAGGAAAACAAGAAAGTTTTCAGAGTTGAATTAATCATTGAACTTAGTCTTAAAAGATGTATATTTTCCAGGCAGGGAGGGAAGAGCATTTTCTTTGTGCACATTTGTTTATATAGCATGAGTAGCTAAAAAATAGTTAGAAAGGTCAGCACAGCTTGGCAAGTGACAACGCTCTAATCGTATAGGTCATGCACTTCTGTAAGAAGGGTGGAACAGAAAAATCTGGAGAAACAAATTAAGAAGTCTTTATTTTACATGGGTGTACTCAAAAATCTGGACATAGGGAGTAGAAGAAAGGCCTAAGTGTAGGAAGTGTGAAATTTACTGGCAATGTGATTTTGGATAAATTGTTTTTATCTACCTCATTTTTCAATCTTTAAAAAAGGATAATCCAACTCATAGTGAGTCAACACATTTAAAATTCTTGGGTTGGGGCCTCCCTGGTGACACAAGGGGTTAAGACGCAACCTATGAAGCTAGTCACAGCCACTGCAGCACCCAGCCAGGGAGCTACCCACATGGCACAGCAGAACTCTCCTTATTCGCCTGCTGCTCCCCTCAGCAGTGTATTTCAGTCGGTCTGCCTGTTCTGTTCCCCACTCTGTCTCAGGTGAATCTTCTTCCCCCCCACACTTCTGGCCTATACCCCAGATCTTGTATGCATAAATAAATAAATCTTTAAAAAAAACGTAAAAAAATAAAATTCTTGGGTGAGTGTCTGCATTGAATATTCCTTTTACTGTGAGATAACAGTGGCATTCATGAAGATAAGAAATGTAGGAAGAGTAGTCAGATGGACAGAAAGACTGGTGCTCAATTTTGTTAACACTGAGTTTAAAGAGTCTGGTTATCTATGTGATGAAATCAGAAAGCTAAATGTAGAGAAGCAATGGTTTATAGTTAAGAGTTCAGGTAATGAAGTCGTTCTGCTTGGGTTTGGAACCCATATTTAAACTATGTCTGCATCATTTTCTTCACCCATAAGAATGGAAGATCTAAATGAACTAATATATTTAAAGTCCTTAGTGGAATGTCTGGCATTTAATAATCACTCAATGAAAATGCACTACAAATGTTATGGATTCAGGAGCTCAAGAGAGTACTCATGTCTGGACATGTAGCAGAATAGAAGTAATGGCAAAAGGGACTTTGCAAATGTAATTAAGGTTACTAATAAAGTCTAAGAAATGTATCAAAATTACTCTCCTACAGATAATCATGAGCTGTGCAAAATGAAAATAATTACTTAAAACAATTGAAGACTGAAAATCATAGTTTTATTTATATATGCCAGGATCAAATAATTAGAAAATGAAATTAAAATAGCAATTCCATTTCTAATACTATCAAAAAACATAAAATTTATAAACATGAGCTTAACAAAAAATGCAAGCTCTATGACTTAAAATGATAAAATATTTCTGAAAAAAATTAAAGGAGATCTAAATTAATGGAATAATACCATGTGCATGGATTGGAAGATATTATTAAGATGTTAATTATCTCTAAATTTATAGATTCAATTCATAGTGATCTCAGTTACTCTGCCAAGAGACTCTTAGACAGAATTAACATTTAAATTTGTTTTAAATATATATAATATTTTAAAATATTTTGAATTTTTTTTTATTTTTAAAATGTTACAGAAATGCAAATATTCTGGATTAACAAAGCCATCATAGGAAAAAAAGAACAAAATTTAGACCATAGATGTACTGACTTTCAGCAATAATCATGTGTTATCTCACAGATACTGTGGGTCAGAAGTCCAGACAGAGGTTGGCTCACGTGGATTTTTCTGCTTAGGTTCTCATGAGACTAAAATCAAGGTGACAGTCTGAGCTGTTGTTTCTATCCATATCTTGAGGATTTTTTCCCGAAGTTTGCTGACACTTGGCAGAGTTCACTTTTTTCTCATTCTTTTCACATGGCCTGCTCCATTGTCAAGTCAGCAATGTTATATGAAATCCTTTCACACTTTGATTTTGTCTGACTTTTGCTTCTACCTCACATTTAAACACTAGTGACACTTAGGGCCCACCTAGATAACACAGCATAATATCCCTATTTTAAAGTCAACTAATTAGTTACATGTGTGAAATCTCTTTTGCCATGTAAGGTAGCATGTTCACAGGTGTGATATGTTATTGTGGGGTTGATCTCCCCAAAATCCTAGATAGAATTTTCTCAATATTCTCATAGTAGGCTTCTTCCAATGTGTCACCTTGATATGGAGAACTAAAGGTCCATTGAGACCTGCAGGTCTTAGAAACTCTGTTACCATTACTTAAGGATTATTCGAAGTTAAAAGTGGCCAAGTCCTTAGAGGCAGGAGAGAAGCTCTGCCCTTGTCTAGGTCATTTTTCATTTTCCTGATCAAAGCAGCCAACACTATTGCCCATTTACATGATCTAGAAAAATCTAGTTAGGGCATCATCATCCAAGTGTGATTTTTATCAGTGACCATGGACTCCCTATCTGAGAAACTCATCTTTCTTATTTTCAGAGTAAAAGGATCAGATGATCTCCTCTTTGACATGTGAAGTCTCCCCCTCCCTTTATTTCCCTGATCGGCCTCATTTTACTTTAGAATTTACAACCATGAAAATTCTCCATATGTAAGCTGCCTGACGACTTATGTCCCAACTAGATTTTAGTATACATGGTATTTAGTATACATGGTATTTTATTAACCTATTTTCATCAATAAATAATTATTGAATAAATGTTGT